TATCTGCCTGGTATTGGGTGTACCTATGTATCAAAACTAAATGTAACATGGCTGATGTAGTTAGGTACTCAAACATACATTATTTGCTAAAAAAGATCCAATGCTTGATTTTTCGTTATATCAAGGATCATTAAAAAACAAATTATTCTCAGTTGATGCACCTTAAAAACTAAAGCAAACTTTCAGCGTTAGACAAAACAAAAGTGCTGCAACTTTCATAAGCCTATTTTATTCGATAATAAATGTTTTCTGTTTTTCAATTATTGCATACTATGTTGTATGCTAATTTTAAAAGCCTTTAAACTTTAAACAATTATCTGGTTAAACCTGAAGGAGCCATAATTAATTAAATTTAAGAACAAAATTCTTGCACAAGAGTGCCCCGTTTTGAGTTTATATGCGTTGTATAAACGTTGAGGAGAACGTTCATAGCGGCTTTGGTATTTGTAAAAATAGTTCTGTAAACGTTGTTAGGACGCTTATAAAACATAAATTGTTAGTTGGGGACTTACTGGCTGATGAATGGATGGGAAAATATTAATTCAAGATTTAGTTCGCCTTCACCAAAAGAGGATTACAAATTAAGAAGAAACACGTAGCTGCATGTTGGGATAATTAATATTCTATTTGACCCGCCTCTTCCCCATGACCCACCAACAGGTAGATATCCGCGCGAAAACCTTAGAAGAAGCAGATCCAAGACTTACAGCCAACATTTCGGGTCCGGGTGATGAGCCTCGCCCGCCCTTTTCTCTGTCCGTCCTCTCCTCCAGTTTGACAACTTTGACAGCCGTTCGCGTACAATCCCAAGCCGCACCAACCACTCACACTCAAAAACAAGGGATCCTTAGGCACGGCGTTCAGCACATCACTCGCGCTTCACGCGGTAGGCCTCGACCGACGTTAAAACAATTGCTGCGTTGACAGATGACAGCGGCGGCGATCGGTGCATCGGCATTCAAGTGTTTTGATTGAAACTGAGTGGAAACAAGTGAACGTCGCGCCGGCACTTGCCCCACCGCGCACCGTGCATAATATCGAGGTATAATTTGCGTCGTTTTTTGTTTTGTTTGGTCGAGCCATCGGGGCGGCCATGCATCCCAAAGCCCGCCCAGTTAATTGCACCCTCAATACGGAGGAGCGACGGTGCCATGGTGGCGCGTAGAGACATCTAGCGGATGAAACGTGAAACTTATATAAGTGGGAGGGAACGTTGGAGGAGCCACTTGCCGAGTAAGGGGATTTGGGAGATAGAAGAGGAGAGCTGAAAATTATTTGTATGAAACTGGTGCAGGATATACAAGGTGGCCAACATAGAGGGGACTTTGAAAGTTGGGAGATATCTTCATAGGAACAAGTATATCTATAGGGTGTCCTGAAAGTTGGGAATTTCCTTTTCAGAGTTAGCTGCGTTTACAATTCCGAAGCTAAATTGCAGCAAAATAACGGCGAAAATATAAAAAATAAATTGAAGAGAAACACTCACTATTCATTTGGTAGGATTTCCAAGTACTGCCATGTCTCTGCTTGAAGTAGTAGCTCTTCGATTCAAAAACACGAGTTTGTTTAACTCTTGCTTAATTTGCAACATTTGGGGCTGTCTAAGCCTTCAACTGTGTGCAACCAGGCGGATTTTCATGATATAAATGAACATATGCATCTCTGGTGGAAAGAAATATCAAGGACGATGATGATGTTCTGAGTACCTACACACGCGGAGTATCTATAGGATCTTGAAGATGCTCATATCAAATCGATAACTACGGTATTGGTCTAGAAATACACCAATTTCGTTTTTTCAAATGTGGTTTGTTTATAAACCAGGTTAACTTAGACACCACGCGACACCTGGTTTGGATACTAACTCCCATAGGCTTAGTACCTACATGATGTAGGAGGGGATTGTGGGAGGTGAGGGTGGCAGGGTCATTTATTGCATTTTGGAAGCTAATGTCTTGGTTATCTGAAAACTTTGATATATATGTTAGTAACTAAACATGCTTATTATTGCCGGGCCTATAATTTTAAAACGGTCTGAGTGCAATCGAGAAGCCTCGGCAGCATCTTGAAAACGCTTACCGTAATTTAGAATCATATCCACAAATTCGTTATTTTGCCGCGCTTGCAGTGGCGTGGGATATGTTCCGCGGCTGCTGTACTTTTCGGTACCCAAATATACATTGATCCGTAATCTCTACAACCTAGGGATGTAGGAGCGGTCGTGCCAGCCAGATCTGGATGTTCGAAGTTCGACGCCTGTGATAGGCGGCCGAAGTCAAGCAGGTCTGTTTCGCAGGATCATCGCGCGGAGGCCGCATCGAAGAGTGCTCTGACAAGAAAAGCCCGTTGGCATAGCGGAGAGAGAGCCAAATCGCCGTAAAGCACTTATCTAACTTGAATGATAGATAATAAGCTAAGCATAGAGCATAGGTAATATATCTAAGACAGTTATCAGAGATCTGGCAACTATGTCATCAAATAATCCAGAGGGAAGCTCAAAATCCCATTATATGGTGATGTTTATTTGGAGCTTTCTGAAAACATGTTGAGGTATATTTTTTTTAGACTTAATACACATGGCATATATGTTGGTCGAAAAAAGGTAATAAAATAATCACCTAGGTATACTTATAAGACATAAAAGTAGGTACGTGCATAAGATGTCGTAAAGGGTTATCCATAAGAGGTACCCTAATGTCTGTACATAAGGCTTCAAGTTTAGGCCTCTGGACGAAACGTAATAGGTTCCAGAATGTACGCCTTATGTAAGTAGGGTGCTGCTTGGGTGTAGTCGGGAAGGAAGCTTCTCGAGCTTGTGAACAATACTCGAGGCTAGGTCTTATCTGAGCCTTGTATAGAGGAAGGAGATTATGTGAAGAAAAGTACTTTAATGGCCTCTTTCTGTGTGAATGTGAAAAATGAGGATTATACCAACACACCAAGCGGTGCAGAGCAGTTGAGAAGTATTATTCGGGAAGCTTTTTGGAATATTCTTCCCTGAATCTACGAAAGAGTGATGGAAACCGTAATCAACAGGACCCTAGATTTCTACAATTTCCACACTCGGGTTCTATTAAATACCAAAACACTCCGAAACCTTGACAATGCAGCATGTTTTTGACAAAAGGTTCTACGCATAGTGGGTATCATACTCATACACGAGGTTAAGCGGTAATAATAATAATAATCGTCTTTATTAGGGCCATAATACTATACTGCCACTTGCTCCAATAAAAGTAAAACAGTACAACAGAATATAGAATATTTCTATGGCAACAAGAGGGATAATATTTGTTTAAATAAGTTGTATATAAAATATACCTAAGTTATAACGTTCTACATTTGGAATATTTAAATTTTACATTGAAAAATTTTGTGAAGTGAATTTACCCAAAATAAAGATTTTAACGTGATTACTAAACTTTTCATAATTTCGAGAATAATTGCGTTGTATGTGATGCATTTTCGAAAGAAGATTGTCTTGTGGAGAGGCATTGTGGCATATTACGCCTAGGTATCAATTTATCTTTTAAAAATCGAGGAATAGCTGTTAGTAAAAGATCATCTTTATAAGTGACGATGTGTAATTCATATAGTTCTTTTACTCTCAGCCATTTCATATATCTTAAATAAGAACTGATGATCATACTTTCTTAAGTTATCGTTCAATCTGCTACAGGAGTTTTGAGTTTTTTGAGAAGCGTGAGAGAAATGGAGTCTGAAAATGGAACAATGAGAAATTTTAGACTTTATCAGAGATTTGCACAACTTTGTTTGGTTTGTTAGTCAAGAAATTGTTTATTTAGGTAAAGTTGGCGTAGATTGGAAAAAACAATTATTACTGATATTATTCACATGTGGTATGAGTTTCAGACATACATAGAACATGATTCGTAGGTTTTTGACTGATTCACTTACCTCAATAAAGTAACCGTATAAATGTATGGTAAAGTTTCTTATCGCATCACTTCTAAATGATTTCGGTGAAGAAACAGTGACTTTTGACTTTGAAGGTTATGATTCTTTGCATATGTACTGATATATTGATCTTAGATACAGCGGTTTGGATATTAGAACTTTAGAAATGATTAAGTATAAATTTGTGAGTTATCGGCGAAAAATTGAACAGCGATATGTAGACCAGATATAAATAAAATGAGTAATAGTGGCCCCAATACAGACCCTTTCGGTATTCCGGAAGATATGAGGCATTTCGGAGTCGAAACCATATCAATGTTTGCCCTCTAAGATCGATTTTGTGAAAAGCTACAAATCATGTTAACAGAAGAATTAGCAAACCAAAAATATCACAATTTTTAAGAAAAATACGATGATTTATGGTATCGAGTGCCTTAGAAAAATCTAGCAAAGCTAATATTATGACCGTTTGTTGATTCCAGGCTTTCACTGTATTATCGTTTAAGTCTAGTAACGCACCTACAGTGCTTTATCCTTTTGGAAAGCCGCATTGTTTCGAAGGAAATATTTGAGACTTTGATAGGTAATCGTTAATTTGAATTTACATCGCTTTTTCTGGTAATTTCGACAACACGGGTAAGAACATACTGCCTGGTTCAGTCAAACGACCTCTGAGGACACTGCCTAGGTCATATTTGACGTCAACGACCAATTGCGCCTCAGATAGCCTTTTTAAGAAACTTTTACTTTTTTACAAAAAATGCGTGCATGCCAATTTGCCGGGTGTTCAAGTATTTAATATATGATAACATTTCTATACAGATCCCCCAAATACCAACCATAAAAGTTTAAGTCAAAATATTGGATTTATTTTATTTCATGAGGGACCAAATTAACTATTGGGCGTTTTTTATCATTATTAAGTTAACTTCGTCTTTAGAAATGAGACTGATGGATGACAGCAAGACCTACGCACTTTTTCTCCCGACGCCTACTTTCTCTCAGTTACTCTACTTCCTGATTTCGAGAATTAACTTCCTGGGTAGAAACATTGCTCGTTAGTTATATCAAATATTTTTATTGGTAAATGATTTATAAAACTTAATGTAAAAATATCAACAAATATACATAAATATGCCCATATATACAAGATCATAATGGTCCCTGGAATACAATAGTACGAATCCTAAATTTACTTTTTATACTACTGCCTCCACTCCACATGATAACCGTTATACAAACTACTAGCGTGATGCATCATTTGCGAATTATACTCTGGCGTAATTTGGGGTACATTTTGCGCGGATATACTTTGAGACTTTGTACTGATTTGCGTTTGATCCGTATCTTCTTCCTCTATCGTCGGTTCCACCTTCTTTCCATTCTTGTGGGTCTTGATGTGTTTCGCCAGATGGTCTGACCTCATGAACCTCTTCGAACATGTGGTACAAGCAAACCTCTTCTCTCCAGTGTGGGTCCTCAAATGTCTTTGTAGTTCATCTGACCTAGTGAACCTCTTTCCACAAAACAACCAATTGCAGACAAAAGGTCTTTCACCAGTGTGCCACCTAAGATGCGCTTGCAGATGTGAGGTCTTTCCATACACCTTATCACAACCGGGATAGTGACAGATATGCATCTTCTTGGAAGAAGGTGTCTTTAACCCATTCTCTTCGTTGATACAGTTTGGACACTGACACTTGATACATCTCCTGGCTTTAGAAGAGAAATTGGAAAACTCTTCAGGTTTGATCATCATCTTGGTAGCAAAGTGACTCATGTAATTGCTGTTAGGCCACTGATACTGCTGCCCATATCCTTGTTGTTGGTACCCACTTGTGGCGATATCACCTGGTGGTGGTGAATGTTGGAACCAATACTGATTGGCATAAGCATGGGCATATGAAGGCTGGTAGTGTGGAGAATATTCCAAAGGAGATCTAGGTACTTCTAGGGAAGACCTGGAGGGGTCCAGAGGCACTTGGGAAACGTAACCGTCGCTGCTGCAGGAAGTTGTAGAGGCTGGTGATAATTGAGTGTGGCTCGAGTAGGGTTGGGGGCGGTAGAGTCTGTTGCAAGATGATGCCAGGAGCTTCAAGGGGCTTATCTGGAAAGAAAGAAAAAGTTAAAATGAGGACGACTAATAATGCTGTTTTAGTCTGTTCATCCAACAATAGGCCAAATGAGTACAGCTGTTTCATGCTTATTGGCAATCATCAGCACGGCCTAGACTTGATTTCTAGGTAGGACAACGATCGAAAGCAGAGCAGAGCTCTGTTGAATCAAACCACTATTACTAGTTTTCTAGTGGCAGGTAGACTATCATCTACTACATCGACGGCGTCGCGCGGCAACAGACTCGTCTCTGGCAATAGATGGCACTTGTGCTGTCGTATCTGGTTAGACTTTACTGATAGTCGGCTGTTATGGTACACATCTAGGGAACATATGACCAAAGATTGCCGAGATGTAAGGCTCCGCAAAATCAATCAAAACTAAACAAAGCCTAATCCGGTCCTGCACCTCGATCAAATCAAACGTGAACAAGTACGATGTGGATCCGTACTCAATCCAGGCGCTGGCTGCGTTTGTAAACAAAACCATTGCACATCGATTCTAAAAAAATGCTATACTCTTACGACAATATCGGAGTTGTTCATGTTATTTTACTTTACGGGAGTGTCTTCAAAATGCTACCGAGGCTTCACGATTGCATGCAGATTGTTTTTAAAGATCCTTCGTAATTTACTTTTTTGGTTTGGGGCGAAATGAAATGTCTGAGGATCTATCGCAGACAATTCTGATCAATACTCACAAGTGGCGTAGCTGTACCTGAAACTCTTTTTCGAGGAACGGTAAGTATTTTTTCATTTATTTTTTTACTTTTTCGCTGTTGTTTCACCGGAAATTAGCATTGTTACTACAAAAGTAGTTGTTTCTGAAAAGGAAAGTCCCAACTTTCAGGACACCCTGTATTGTTAATGAGTGGTATTCCTATTGGTTTTATGATGCCGAAAATTATCCATACTATAGCTATGAATAGAATAAAGATAGCAGGGATAGAGTTGAGGAGTTCTCTAGATGTTTCAACTCCCAAGCATCAAAAAACCCTATTGTTTTTACATTTTACTTCTCACGAGGAACTACTCGCAAAAATTGTACACCACAGAAAAAGCATGTCCATCAGTCTATCTGTCCACTACTCCTTGGCCGATTTATAACTTGGTAAATAAAAAATCAGATGTTGATGAAATTTTGATACATAGTTAAAACTATGCCAAGGACTACAACCTGAATAGTGTTTGGAAATTGCTTCAGCGGCGACTAAGCACATAAAAACAAAAAAACTGCTTCAAAGGCAGAAAACAACTTGTAGGAGTTAAACATTGGGGGTTGAGGTAGGTAGGTGATGTACTAGGGTATATCGCAATTTTCTGGGTGTATTTATACGCCTCCAACTCCCGTAATTCTGCGCACTTATTGGCCAAGTTTCGCACATCATAGATTTGCCTTTAACACTTGAAATGATAGGTATTCTCAACACACGCGTCTCTGAACTGGTGACAACGTTGTCAAATACATGGGAACTATGTTTAACTAAATTAATCCTTTATCTGTTTTATATGTATGTATATACAATGTGTTGGGTCACGACATACCGATATTTAAAGGTGTATTTTTCAGCTATTTTTATCGACAAATCCACCCCCTACAATGTCCTACCTCATCCCCCTTGAAATGGCAGCCATTGTTATTTTTACGTTACGATTACGCTAGTGCGTGTATGAAAATTGTAATAACTGAGAACATAAGAGTCACAGAATGATAAATTTGGTGTCATTTGAACGACAATATGTTGTTCTAGCGTTTATTGCAAAACTTGAATTGATACTAACCGTCAAACATACTTAAAACAGACAAAAACAGAAAAAAATATGTAAGAAAATTGATTATTTTGTGCATTTCCGCCCACCATTCAAAAACTAGTTTGTGAAGTTGTACTTTTTTTGTGCTAATTCTACAGCTAACTATGTTATCTACAAAAGACACCAAATTCCTTCTACGTTAAGTAATAAATGCTATCTAACATGGGTCAAAGTATACATAAAACCGACAAATCAAAGTTTCTTATAAATAGTTTGGACATGTTTAATGTTACAGAAGCTGCCCTCCATTATTGGTTATGCACATTGTTGTTCTTAAATCAATGTGTTGAGCAGCAGATCATATCCGTGTCAGCTCTAATTTCGATCGCAGCGGTATGTATAACTTTCACGAGCTCTTCCCGTGTCGTCGACACATGACAGTAGACATTTGCTTCATTGTGTCCCAGAAAAAATAATCTAGGGGCGTTAAATCGGGTGGTCGGGGTGGCCAAGCGACCAGTGCCTCCTCGTTCTATCCATGGAGAATGTTGCCTATCCAAATGTTCTAGCGCAAAAGCGTGTGGGAGCTCCAACCATATGTTGCGGCGGTTGATAAGTGGCGTAGATCTCAAGAAGTCCAAATATCCCTGGCCATCTAACCTTGGAGGTATCTCAACTGGGCCGACTAAAACTCCGTCGATCATTCGGGCCCACATGTTTACATCAAATTCCTGTTGGAAAGTGCTCAGTCGAACTGCGTAAGCGGTTTCCGAAGACCACAAGTGGTCGTATCTATGGTTTATGATCCCCTACCTCCTAAATTTTTCTTCGTTCATCCATAGAATTTTTTGTGACATTGAACTATTTATAAGAAACTTTGGTTTATCATTTTTATGTATACCTTGACCCATGTTAGATAGCATTTATTACTTAACGTAGAAGACTTAGGATAACAAATTTAGGGTCATTTTGTAGATAATACAGTTAGCTGTAGAATTAGTACAAAAAAGTACAACTTCACAAACTAGTTTTTGAATGGTGTGCGGAAGTGCACAAAATAATCAATTTTCTTGCATATTTTTTTCAGGTTTTGTTTGTTTTTAAGTATGTTTGACGGTCAATACAAGTTTTTCAACAATCGCTAGAACATGCTGTTGTTCACTTGACACCAAATTTATTGTTCTGTGACACTTATGTACTCAGTTATTACAATTTTCATAAATGCACTAATGTAATCGTAATGTAAAAATAAAAATGGATGCCATTTCAAGAGGGGTGAGGCAGAACATTGTAGGGGGGTGGATTTGTCGATAAAAATAGCTGAAAAATACCTCCCTTAAATATCGGTATGTCGTGACCAAACACATTATATATACAGGATGTTCCTTAATGATATGCGAATATTTAAGAGTGTGAATCTACAAGAAAAATTAATGTCAGTTTGGTTCATAAACTTTGGTAAAAATGTTTCCTTACAAAAACCCAGGGTGTTGAAGTTTTAGAAAAAAAATGGAAATTAATTAATATTTTCAGAACCGCTTCAGATATTTCACTGATATTTAGTATGTAGTGTAAGTTAATAAAGTAACATATTTTTTAGCTCTAACAGTGGCGTGCGTACGGGTATTGACTTCGATATTTTTTAAGAAAAAAGTGGTACGCCAATGGTTCTTTGCGAAATAAAAACTATTTTTGAATTCCCCGTTCAATTTAAAACAAATGATCTTTTTTGAATAGTTTTCCTTCGATGCGCCATTTTTTGAGTAAAAAAATAAAAACCGGTCTATTGTCCGAGAAAATTAATGTAACAACTGAAGAATGCAATTTAGCAATAAATATCTAGTTGCTGTGGAATATATCACTGGCTTTTGACATCTGACAAGTCTATATTATTTAAACCTGTTCGCTGTGACATCTTTTTCATTATTTAGTTCTTACAATCTTGTTAATAATGGTAAATTATTCAAATGCAGAAATGACGGAAATGCATTACGTATATGGCCTTGCCGACGGTAATGGTGAGCAAGCCAGACGGATTTATCACCAGAGATATCCCGATCGTGCTTTGCCAGATAGTCGAACCTTTTCTAATGTTCATCGTCATCTTGTTGAAACTGGTTCTGTCGACAAGGAACATCTGAAGGTAGACTCCGAAGTGTGAGAACACGTGAAATTGAGGAAGTAGTGCTGCACGAAGTCGAAGAACATCCTGAAACGAGTTCGAGGAAGATCGCTAGACACTTAAATATTTGCCATCAAATTGCTTGGAGAATTTTCGTGGATTTTTTGTTATATCCTTACCATATTTTAAGAGTACAGGCATTACTTTCCATTGATTTTCCAAGGCGTGTGACCTTTCGCCAGTGGTATCTTCAAAAAATTACACAAAATCCGCAATTTGAATCAATGATTCTGTTCACGGATGAAGCTAATTTTTCTCGAAATGCCATTCAGAATGTCTACAATAGTCATTTGTGTGCAGAACAAAATCCCTATGGTGTAACTGAAACCCATTTCCAACACCAATTTTCGGTTAACGTATGGGCAGGAATTATTGGCAACCACTTTATTGGCCCATTCTTCTTACCGGGACGACTTACCTCAATTTTCTTCAACAACAGTTGCCTTTGCTGCTTGATGATGTTCCGTTAGTGATAAGAAACAATATGTGGTACACGTATGATGGTGCACCAGCACATTTCAGTGTAGCGGTTCGTAATTATTTACAAACTGTTTACCCAAATCGTTGGATTGACTGCGGTGGGCCCCAAAAATGGCCACCAAGGTCCCCAGACCTCAACAGTTTAGATTTCTTTTTGTGTGTTAACTTAAAGCACTAGTGTACACAAGTCCCATTAACACTGTAGAGGAATTAAGAGAAAGAATAGTTGCAGTTTGTGATAGAGTAAAAAACACTCCAGGGATTATTTTTATTTGGCAAAAAACCATTGGCGTACCATTTTTTTCTTAAAAAACATCAAAGTCACTACCCGTACGCACGCCACTGTTAAAGCTAAAAATTATTTTAACTTTCACAACGTACTAAATATCAGTGAAATATCTGCAGCGCTTCTGAAAATATTAATTAATTTCCATTTCTTTCCTAAAACTTCAACACCCCGAGTTTTTAGAAGGAAACATTTTTGGACTATAGTTTATAAAGCAAACTAACATTAATCTTTCATGTAGATTCACACCCTTAAATATTCGCATATCATTAAGGAACACCCTGTATATATGTTGCATAATCGTAACGTTGTCTCAAAGGCGATAACTTGTGTCAGACATCCTTAGCTTTATCTTTTATCCAGATTCATAAACCTGTATCCAGTATCCAGTAAATACGATCTTTCACTTGAAACATTCACGAGGGCGACAACCTAAATATCCGAGGCATCACGACTGATACGAAAAGACAAAAAAGTGTTTAATTGATTCGATTTTTGAACTAAGATCAGTAGAACTGAGAAAAGTTGTTCTAGTATAATCTCCAAAAATCGATTTTTCTTCCACTCTCGCCATATTCTAAAATCCTTCGTTCGGCTCGAGTAGACGCATCCAACATTTTCTCCACCTCGTTGAAATTTTGGTGAATGCTACACAATAATTTTAGAGGTAACTACAATTTATTTCTTCTTTCCCCTATAACAACAAATTTCAGAATAGAGTCAAATGGCTGACTGATAATACAAATATGAAACTTAATTCAATATTAATAAACTAGTACGATATCAAAAATGAGCAAGAACGGGAATAGGGTTTAAGCTGAAAATCAGAAGTCTCCATGTATATTCTGGACTACAAAAAAAGTAAATCAGCTCCAACAGCTTAAAGAGAGTTTGGATTTCCAATGACGGTAGTTCTATGTTTTTACACTTAGCAGTGTAAATTGCATTTAAATATTCTTAATCTTTAAGCCATGTACATCAATCTAGAACTACAGTCTTGTTGGAATATACTCAAAATCCACGAGGGCTATTTCTTACCATAACAATCATTCTAGCATTCTTAGCAGTATGGTTGCTCGTGAATTGTAACAGACTACTTTCGAATAATGTGTTCGCCACGTACATTCAAAACGGAATGTTTTGCCAAAATTGTCGAAAATAAAATAACAATTTAATGACTTCTTGAACTTTTGCTCCATGTACACGCTCTACATCACATTAAAGCCGTAAATGTTGAATTCATTTTCAAGTTCATGGCTTTTACCATTTTTTCCCTAAGTTTTTTGCAGCTTAACATCTATGCGGCAAAGTTTATTCTTCTGAGTGATTTGAGTTGCTCAATTTTGGCCAAAAGTACCATTTTATTTAAATAATAATGGAAAAACTAGTCAAAGGTAATGGAGTATTTTTAAAATACCTGTAGGTTTTTCCTGGTCCCTGTCAGACTAAGAAGAAGACAAGAGATCGGCGAGCAAAAAAAAGTGTACGTCTGCGATTTTTATCACAGGGAAATTAAAAACTATGTATCCTGTTAAAATCTATTCTGTATCCAACAACACAGGCCCACAAGATAAAAAAACTGATGTGTGTTACTATGTCTTTCCCATGTACATTTTCACGATGAACACGAATCTGAAGTCAAAATTGGTGGTCCGTGAACAAATAAGAAAGTAATTCAGGCACTAGTACAAGCATCACAATTTTTGAAATTTAAGGTGGATGTGCATCTTTTTTAAGATCTAAGATTCTGATGTCTGAATTACTTTCAATTATGACTTTAGATTCGTGTTCGGAGGGAAAAATACAGTAAGACCACTTGTTATTTATTTTTTGTGGATCGACGCCAAATTTTGACTTCAGATTCTTGTTGAACGTGACAAAAAAATGAAAAATTCATGGACAAAATATGGTCGGGTCCAAGCACACACCACGTTTCTATTTTGTAGGAAAGTACATTTTTTTATTTTAAAAACTCTTCAAGTGTTTTTCATTTTTTTGTCAACATCAGAGTCCGTTTTTGGACACTTTTCTCTAATAATATCATTCATGAGAGCAGTCATAATTTACTTATCTGTATTTAAGTCATGGTAGAGGGTGTTAAATTGATATATATGAAGAGTCCCCCTTAGGATTTAGGTAGGATGAAATCTTTTGAACCAACGAAATGGTTTGGTCTTCCGCGCCGCATATTATCCAGCAATATCTATAAGGGCACAATCTGTAGAAGCATAGTGTCAGAATCGTTACAACACTCCCGTAATATCCTCCAAGAGGGCCTATCAACCCCTCCTATCCCCAAGTGTAGCTACACACCTCCCAGATAATTGCTGGTACCCACCTGATGCGTCTGCGCTTGCTGCTCGTGGTAGCTGTTCGATTGCGTCATCATCATCATCTTCTCTTCACTGCACACAGTCCTCAGTTTCAAAGGGTCACTTACACACTTCCCAAAACACGGGCGCGGCGCACACGTCACGATCGCTAATAACAGAGTGTGCTGCGAACGGGTCGCCTAGGCTACGGGGAACAGATCACGATCGGTGGGCGTGGCCCGGTGCGCTGAGACGGTGCGCAGGGATGCTGGGACGCCTTAGGGAGGGTGGGGGTTGAACGGAAAGGGCGAGATGCTTGCGGCAAAGAGGCCGGCGAGGGTGGGAAAGATCCGAGTTGTGATGATGATGATGGAGCAGACGACAATATTATTATGAATGACCTTGTCAATGAATTGTAGTATAATAGTAATGTTGCAGCATCACATTCCCAACGATTTGACACCCGATTGTAAACTCCTTCAACGTCAAAAGACTAGTTTCAAACGGTTTCAAATTTGATTCTGCTAGAACACATTTTTCTGTCAAAATATATTTGAGTTGACAATGGAAACATCGTATTTGATATTTAGATGAGATTCTGTGCTTCTTTTCTCATCATAGTTCCAGATATAAATCTTAAGAACTCGATAACCGTCTTATTATTATTACATTACGAAATGATGATGTTCCATGTTCTGCGAACCACAAGAATATGAGTGTTTGGTCATAAGCAGAAAGTTTCTCATTGCCCCTGTCGTCTTTTTAAAGAACATGCTGTGTTCATATTTAGTTGAGATACCGTAGTCGTTATGTGAGTCACTCAAAATATGTTCCATTTTTTGGTTTTTTCGATTATGAAGCAGTATGTGCAGAATGTTCTCATCATCGCTCGAATCGATATCTGAGATCCAATCGGATTCTGAACTTGAACTATAAGAATCTGATATTTCTGTGACCAGTACAAACAGGTATACATAACAAAAAAACTAGTACAAACCCAATTCTATAGAAACGGTTATCTGGCTTCAATCTTTTTAATTGATGCAAACTATTCAAAGTTGCAACGAAACTAAGATAGACGCAAACTCCCAAATTGAAAAACCATAACCACAAACTATAAGGCACCCACAACAAAACAAGATTTCGTGTGATCTGCGCATATCAGGAACTCCGAGTTCAAAATCCTATGTACTGTTTCGGCTGTCCGAAATCAGTTTTCAAACCAAAAACTGGTTTGCTGAAACAGAGGACTGATAATCCCCAACTAGCTTCTACTCCTCCTTGAACATGTTTCCTCCACTGCGCATGATCAGTCGGTTTCAAACCGTTGGAAATGTGATGCTAGTACGTTACTACCTAATAATAAATAAATGTCACGGGAAATTAAACATGATTCCCATCCGCAATCAGGATATCATACCGAAAGTGTGCTATGGTCGTAATTTTATACAAAGTTCTCCTTGGGAAAATGAACATATTCAACCTGAAGTTAGCCAACTTGATACTCTATTTTCTCTTAATAAATTATCTCGGATAATTTAGACAAAGTAGAGCCATCTGTCAGAACTTGTCAGAGCAATGTTTATCTTCTCCACAATAATTAGAAATCTTCTATGAAAAGGATAGTGTCTCATTGATAGGATATGGTTGACTACAGCACCAATTATGAGATACTATCTTTTTCAAAGTGCGTTTTAGTTATAGTGGAGAGGAAAAAGACAGCTGTGACAAATTCTCATAGATGACGCTACGGTATCTCATTTTATCTCGGATAATTCTTTGGAAGCTGAAATACCATAATGGTTGACTATCTCCAGATGTAATAAGTTAATCTGGTAGTATGAAACGAAGTCTTTTCATGTCTGAAAATTAAAAAAACACTTTAATTCATTCTTTACTGATATATATATATATATATATATATATATATACATGGTGATTTATCTGCACACGCCAAATATCACAGCTCTTGGGCATTATTGAGCCGATTTTGACGAATTTCTGCAAAATACTAATGTTGCCGAGGAGTAACGTAAATTTAGTTGGACAGTTGAATAATCCGGGACAGAATCGGCATTTTAATATTTTTGTTGTAAGTATTTAATCATGATCTGACCCATTCAAGCTAAATATTGAAATGTTGGACTATGTACAAAAAAGCCTCCGAACGGTTCTTATTAATTAACAATACATATTGATTACGCCTTTGTTGGTTTTTGGAACAAAATCGTTTACTCAAATACCTCATTTCCATCAGTTTATGTAACACAGAGCTCGAAATTAGTGAATGCGCTTGACTTTATAAAATTTTTCCAAAATAGTCTTAGCATTGAACTGAACGTGATCGGGCACTCAAGAGCCAGAGCCGGATTCAGTTTTTTTTGAATTATATTTTATCAAATGCAACGCCCTGTGATTTAGCCTTTTAGTGAATTAGTTCTACCAACAACATGAGTTCTGCTGCATCGGCGCCCTCGGGGGGCAAGGGAGGCACTTTGAGAATCCGGATAGACCTTAAGATTTGCACATTTAGCATGATCTTGCGTACAATTTTGATGATTATTAGGATCCCTTGGAGAAATTTACTTCTCCCACCCCTTTAAAAAGTTTTGAGGGCAGGTACGCACTTTCACAAAAAATTAAGACATAGCCTCGAGTATTCCTCACATGTTTGGGGTGCTGCCGCCCTGACTGCATCGTCCATGCTGGATGCTGTTCAGAAGGAGTCCTGTCCATCTAATCGATGACTCTTCTCTAACAGACAGTCTCGGGAGATATAAAATGTATTTTCAAAATCTGAATGTTAAATACAGATATAAAAGAAAAATCCAGAATTGGAAAGAGATAAATGATAAAAACTGTTAAAAGACTGTTTACCAATATTTTTTATTAACACCTACCAATAAAAAAAATTGATAAACCGGTAGTACAACATTTATACAGGTGACATATGTACTGTATCTTGATCTCCAATCTCACTGATGCACAAAAGTATTATTTGAAATCAATTTGCTTCTATAAAAAGGTATGTCCCTTTATTTATAGAGCTCTACAGAAATTTCTGTTTGAAAAGCTACCAGGCCATTTTCAATGATTAGGTCTTAAGTTATTTAGAACCTTTCAATTTGTCTATTGTTCATATTTTAAAAGTGATAACATCATAACGGAAGTGTATTCTGTCAACAAAGATATACTCCAATCAATTGTTTTGACAAAACAACAAGATATAAATAAAACACTCTACTAAAATTTTTCCTCCAAATCGGTAGCACAAAAAATATTTCAAATATGTATTCAAAAGAGATCGCTCCACCCCCGTGTATTTTATCCCGAGTGACGGCATAGACAAAGGAATACGGAATTCGTTCGCGAAGTGAGCATGTCTTCTCGAGCTATGGTATCACGGTTAGAACTTAACTGATGGGGCCATAGTTGGTGGGTCCCTATTCCATATGCTTCCACAGGTCCACCGCTACGCTAGATATCTTTCCTCCATTTTGCTGTTGGACGTCAAAAGATTACAACCTTCGCCATAAAACCCTCCCAATATTTTATCTGATCAATAATTGCCTATCTACAAATCCGCTTATCCCACGTAGTATCACCATATCACCAATCGGTGAAATTAGCCGATAACCTACGACGCCTCTCCGCTATCTCAAAATTCGATCAAGATTATCTGCGATGCTACGGAACAATAAGGCGGTGTGTATGGTGTAGTAATTCTCCCATCTAGTGGACGACTAATTTATGGACTATGTTATAGCCCAGTGCCACACAACCATGGAGCGACTGAGATTTGGCCCTATATTGTAGAGCTAGAAGCAAATCAGGTGGATGAGCCACGAAGTTCCACCATAAGAAATAAATTATTAAGTAATTAGTTTACTTGCACTTTGTTGTATTATGTAACATATAAAACTTTGTTTCTTATTGCATTGTCAGTCATCATTTATTCGATTTAGGTTCAATTGAGGTCATCTCAACTGCCTTGCAAGAAGCACGGCTTCATACAGGCTAATCTAATAATCACTTAAGTTGAAAGTAAGGTTGCAGTCAAAATACATACATGCTTAATAGGTAATAACCTAAACCACATAAAGAGTTATTTTGTTAAAATTAAACTTTCAATATACTAAGTGACATATAAATCCGAACACCCAGTTTAAATGGTTTTATTTTAATAAAAGTTGGTGAATGTATTTATCTTACTGTAAATAACAAGTGAAAAAATTTTCAGCCTTATCAGTTGGACATTCCGGTTTTTATACTGCTTTTTTTTAATTCACTAACGCTCTAAAAATGAATATTTCAGCCGCAGTAAAGAATCAACTTTGGCGGATTTTGGTTCTTGACATCCTTTACGATCGGTTACGACGCCTAGAGTACGGAGACCTGTTCGATTTCGTCAACTTAGTGAGTTTGAAATTTTCCGTATAGTGGAACTTCGGGAAGCTGGACTTTCTTTTCAGGCAATTGCAGTTAGAGTGCAAAGAAGTGTAGACACTGTGGTTAGGTGTTGTCAGGCATGGCTTCGAGAAGGCCGTACGCAAAGAGCAAGGGGCACTGGACGCCGCCGTAGAACAACAGACCGTGAAGATCGCCGCCTAAGATTATTGGCCTTAAGGGACCGTTTCTCCACTACCAGGTCCATTGCAAATGAATGGTTTGCAGAACACGGAAGACCTATTGGCATGCGAAGTGTTTACCGACGAATGAGAAGTTTTGGCTTGTTTTCATACCGGCCACACTGGGTCCTCCCTTTAACTCGAGAACACCGACTTAATCGCCTTGAGTGGTGCAGACAACGGTCACTCTGGGATCAGGAATGGAACAGTATTGTCTTTAGTGACGAGTCTCGATTTTGTTTAGGCATGCACGATGGTCGTGCCAGGGTTAGAAGGCGACGTGGTCAAAGGAGGAATCCACAGTTTTTTGTTGAAAGACATGTTCATCACACTGTTGGAGTTATGGTTTGGGGTGCTATAGCTCATGGTTCCAGGTCACCTTTAATCTTCATCAGAGGTAACATGAATGCGCAGCGTTATATCCACGAAGTTCTAGAACCCCATCTTTTACCCTATCTTGACACCCTGGCAGATCCAACTTTCCAACAAGATAATGCCCGACCACATGTTGCAAGAGTCACAATAGACTTCTTTCAACATAATGAT